CTCAAGCTGGTCCATGGAGGCACACGCATGACCCGTCACGTCCCTTCCACCATCCCCCACCCACCAGCCCTTCCTTTTAGTTATATTTATATAGTTTACTGCTTAACTCTGCTTATTTGATGGAGGAATAGTCGTCGCCCTTTCTGATCAAAAGTTGGCTGTGGCCGGATCAGCGATGCTCCGGTTCTTCGGATCAGCGTCCTTTGCCCTCGCGCCGAGGGTCTGGGGGGGAGGGGAGGGTGAATGTCAAGGGGATGTGTTAGCACCAGTTGAGGCTTCACAGATTCATACAATTTTCTTACTTTGCAACTTGTGCGTTAAATATGCACACAAATGTTTTAGTGTCGCCTTCCATTATATGGGATAGGCTAAAGGTCGAGTCATACCGTTGTTACACATAGAAAGATACATAGAGATATAGCAGCACAAGCGACTAGTGGCACGTAGTGACTGCTTGGGAACTCGCTCAACCTGTCCTCAAGAATGTTGCTTCCTCACCTATTAACGCTAACCTCTAGCTCCATAATGTTTCTCGGGCCACCAGCAACAGGTCATGTTATACAGACATCAGCGGAAGATATCCTCAGGCGCCTGACTGTTGATCAGTCAAGAAAACGGTCAATGTAAAGTGTCCTCTCCTTACCTACCAGAGGACCCAAAACAGAAAACAAGACAGTACGTCACTCGCGAGCTGCTTGTTCATCACAATGAAATGTGTGAAGTAAAACATGTGTATGGGGCAAGTAACAGTCAGTAGACTAACAGATGTTGTCACAGCTCGTATAAGTCTTGGCTACAAGTATCTCTGGCAGTTCGGCTTGTATAGGGATCTAGATGAAGTAAAGTGTAAAGTGTGTGGACAAAGACAGGGACACACACTCGAACACTATATCTTGGATTGTGGTAAAATTGAGCCATTTAGAGATAAATCTAAGCTCACTCTGTATGATATGGCAACCTATCTTATTACCATGGATAAATTACCTAAAATCCTTGCACTGTATCCACATTTCGCTTCCAGTAGATGAACGACATATGAGATTCAGAAACAAGTAGTGTATTGTGAGGACTAATAATAAACAGAAGCTACCCTATGACTCTGTAATATCCCCATTGGTCAAACTATTATGTATTAGCGATAAGACCTACCATTAATGTATGATGACTTACTGTAAATATGTAGCTCTTGAAATAGCACTTTCTCTGTAATTAGCTGACATTGTAACTATAAGGTGTGAAGGATAGATGAAATTGTTTATGTAATAATCTAAGATGAGGTCTGATAAAGACCTTTTGTGTCCTCTGTAATGCTTTTGCGCTACCGCTCACTGGATGAGTATGAGGTGCACAATAAACTAGCCGCCTTCGGCGACAACAATCAAATCAAATCAATCGCGAGCTGCTTCCATTTTACACTACGATAATGGCGCCGTGGAGTCTGTGTCAACAGGACGTTGTGGTATGGAGACATCATTCACTGGAGTTTATTGTGCGCCTCCATAGTCATCCTGTGAAAGGTAGCGTAAAAAAGGATTACAGAGGGCACGAAAGGTCTTAATCAGACCCCAGCGAGGTTTTTACATAAACAATTACATCTAACCTGCACACTTTAAAATTATAATATCAGCTAGTTACAAACGTTGCGCATTGTATGATCTATGTATTTACAATGATTTATTATACATTGAAGGTAAGTCTCTTATTAATACTTAAAGTAATTTCGATATGGCGGATTACAGGATTATAGAAGAGCTATTGTTTATTATTAGTCTTTACACTGCACAACTTATTCATTAGTCTCATATCATTTATCTGTTAGACGGGAAATATCGATATTGTGCAAGGATTTTAGGTATTTTATCATTTGTAATAAGATGGATTGTCATTTCATGCAACGTGAGTTTAGATTTATCTCCTTTTCACAGTCTAAGATGTAATGTTTAAGTGTGTCTCTGTCTTGGTCCACAGACTTTACACTTTACTACATACAGATCCCTATACAAACCGAACTACCAAAGATACTTGTAGCCGAGTCGTATTCGAGCTGTGACAACGTCTGTTAATCTGCTGATTTTGTTTCTTGATCCATACACATGTTTTGTTTGAAACATCTCATTGTGGTAAACAATACGTCTGCCAATTCCTGTTAAGCGCTGTTATACATTCTTTATTTTTTTCTAAGAGTTCTCATGGTTGGAACGAAACATTCGTCATGATAAAAACCAAAAGTTTCTGAAAAAAGTGACCAATCCAAGATAGCATAAAAGGTAATAAATATATCTCACGGAAGACCTCCATAAGTCACATCTCAGACATTAACTATTAAAAAATGCTAATTAAAGCAACTTGTTTAGTCTCTCAATTGTAATTTACTCATGTACATTTAAGTAGTATTATCATTTAAATGACACATGATCGCCGTCGCCAGGGAAATACATGGAAATACAGTCTTGGCTAAAATTGAGGCTAGCGCGCCAAATTACATTGAGGATGAGGCTGCTGCCTCTCCATAGATTCTCGTCTGCTGTTCAAAGTAGTAGTCGGTTTCTTAGTGCTTCCATCTCATAAATAATCTGATGTTATTAACACAATGATCGACACGCCATCATGAGACAAACTTAGGAAAAAATGGCGCCGAGGACCAAAGGGAAAAACAAAGTGGACTAAGGGCTGGACTTGTGCAATATGAACGGCTGAGTTGTCAAGCACACAGGGCGTTACTGGCAACGGCGTGCTTCGTCCAACAAGAGAAAGCAATTCACACCTGTCAAGATAACCTAAAAAGTTCGGAGAGTTATCCAGTGATAGGTACAACAGCAAGAGCCTAAAAACTTAAGGGCTTTTCAAAAGTGGCGATAATCCCACCTAAAAAATGGTTATGAGTGATCGAGGTAGTATTCACATTATAATTGAACTAGTGGCATGGAAGTGTACATCATTGTTTGAGTTATAACCAGATATCCACTAAAAAACAGTTTATTATTTGTATTCGTGAAATTTGTGAGGAATTAAGTTGAAAATGTGCACTGGGGAGATTTATATCCTCCAAATGCACTCCTATCTTTCAACAAATCAATGAGCTAAGTTACATCTATCTAGTTTAATATATCCTACGTGTGCTTTGGTCCTTAGAGCACGTTTGAAATAATTTCACAAGCCGCTTAATATGCAAAACTATTCATTTATATTCGGCTGAATTTTTTAAAAATTAAACTAAGAGCCAAACTGAGCCGTATGCTGCAACTGCAAAAGAGTCACAATCATTTTACACCAGAGAAGTCATTATCGGTGCTAACAACACGACCGGTCATAGATTTCAAGACTTGCCTCTTGTTTAAATGTAACCAGTACACCACGTTACCTCCAGTTTACAGCTAGACCTTACCGAGAAGGTCTGGTCACTGACGCCTGTGAATATTCTCACATTCAAAGGCAGACTGGTGGGCACTTTGACGTTCATAGATAGACTGGTGTACATTTTGATGTTTAAAGATAGATTGATGTACATTTTGATGTTCAAAAATTCTGGTATAAATTTTTATGTTTAAAGATAGGCTGGTGTACATTTTTATGTTTAAAGATAGGCTGGTGCAAATTTTTATGTTTAAAAGACCGAGTGGTGTAGATTTTATTGTTCAGAAACAAACTGGTGTACATTTAATCGTTCACAAACAGACTGGTGTACATTTTAATGTTGAAAGAAAGATCACTAACTTCAGACATATGATCAGATACTGCCTTAGGGAACGAGAAATTGAAGGAATACTTAGTTTAACACAGACTGCTAACAAACTGGAAAGGATATTATGAGCCTATCATCATAAACAATATCCAATGCTCGTTAATCCAGCTGTCAAACACCAGCACTGTCATATATCATTACCATCACTGGCATGTGTCATTACCACACCAACACTGTCATGGACTATCATCATACACCAACACTGGTATGTGTCATTACCACACACCAACACTGTCATGGACTATCATCATACACCAACACTGGACAATCATCATACACCAACACTGGTATGTGTCATTACCACACACCAACACTGTCATGGACAATCATCATACACCAACACTGGCATGTGTCATTACCACACACCAACACTGTCATGGACAATCATCACACACCAACACTGGTATGTGTCATTACCACACACCAACACTGTCAAGGACAATCATCACACACCAACACTGGTATGTGTCATTACCATGGACAATCATCACACACCAACACTGGTATGTGTCATTACCACACACCAACACTGTCATGGACAATCATCATACACCAACACTGGTATGTGTCATTACCACACACCAACACTGTCATGGACAATCATCATACACCAACACTGGCATGTGTCATTACCACACACCAACACTGTCATGGACAATCATCACACACCAACACTGGTATGTGTCATTACCACACACCAACACTGTCATGGACTATCATCATACACCAACACTGGCATGTGTCATTACCACACACTAACACTGTCATGGACTATCATCACACACCAACACTGGCATGGACTATCATCATACACCAACACTGGCATGTGTCATTACCACACACTAACACTGTCATGGACTATCATCACACACCAACACTGGCATGTTAGACGGAGCTCAAGCATCGTGACTTGTGAGCTGCAGAAATAAAACATAAGCTGGAATATAACGACATAAACACACATACACATTCTCAATGCCATCAACAGATATAATGACATCCGTAGGGATTAAAAGAGATAACAGGAATGCAAAGAAAGTCCAGCACATCAAACCATTAGATGATGTTGATTGAGGGACGATGACGATTGAGGGACGATTGACATGCGCCTAGATCATTAGATGTACTTAGACAATGTGAAAACGTCAAGAAATATGTAAGTGTGTGTGTGTAGGTGTTGGTGTGAATGCCTGGCGTACGAGCGCCTGCCGGCTGCCACCTGTAGCGCACGTGGAGCAACACAGGCTGCTGGTCCAGCCTCAGTGCGCTCCACACCGTTGACGTGAGAGGGTTGCGGTCTCTCGCTTTCTCCCGGCCCGTATAGTTATCTTACAGTTGTTTTGTTTTGTGACACATTCGATATAATCTCGTGGGTTTTCGCCCATGCCTCTCACAAGTTGTTACCATTTGGTTGTGATATCAAGCAGATGCACGTAATAAACTACCTAGAAGTTTATATCATAAAGTAAACATTACAATAGACGTGAATCGTGACAGAAAATTCTAGGAAATTCGTGGCTACCGGCATTTTGTGGTGGTGGTGAGACCCCCCGGCCTCCTGCCGCGGCACCTGCAGCAGGCGTCTCAGACACAACACCTCGGGTGTGCACACAGGTCCCTCGAGGGTGGAGGCTGTGCCTGCAGAAGGCGGCAAGAGAGAGAGAGAGTGTGGCCACAGGTGCGAGCCCCACGACCACAGTCACGCGACCAACACGGTAAGAAGCCATGACCGTCTTGCTGCATCTTGCTTGGATTGTGTAGTGTTTTTTTGTGTTCTTGTATTAAGGTGTATTGTATTTTTTGCGGTGTTGATAGGTGTTATTTCACCTCGCGAGCGCAGGCACGCACAGGCACATACACACATGCGCATTCACGCACAGGCACATGCACACATGCGCATTCACACACACATGTGTGTGTGTGTGTGTGTGTGTGTGTGTGTGTGTGTGTGTGTGTGTGTGTGTGTGTGTGTGTGTGTGTGTGTGTGTGTGTGTGTGTGTGTGTGTACTCACCTAGTTGTGCTTGCGGGGGTTGAGCTCTGGCTCTTTGGTCCCGCCTCTCAACTGTCAATCAACAGGTGTACAGGTTCCTGAGCCTATTGGGCTCTATCATATCTACACTTGAAACTGTGTATGGAGTCAGCCTCCACCACATCACTTCCTAATGCATTCCATTTGTCAACCACTCTGACACTAAAAAAGTTCTTTCTAATATCTCTGTGGCTCATTTGGGCACTCAGTTTCCACCTGTGTCCCCTAGTGCGTGTGCCCCTTGTGTTAAACAGCCTGTCTTTATCAACCCTGTCAATTCCCTTGAGGATCTTGAATGTGGTGATCATGTCCCCCCTAACTCTTCTGTCTTCCAACGAAGTGAGGTTTAATTCCCGTAGTCTCTCCTCGTAGCTCATACCTCTCAGCTCGGGTACTAGTCTGGTGGCAAACCTTTGAACCTTTTCCATTTTAGTCTTATGCTTGACTAGATATGGACTCCATGCTGGTGCCGCATACTCCAGGATTGGTCTGACATATGTGGTATATAATGTTCTGAAAGATTCCTTACACAAGTTTCTAAAGGCCGTTCTTATGTTAGCCAACCTGGCATATGCTGCTGCTGTTATCCTCTTGATGTGAGCATCAGGGGACAGGTCTGGCGTGATATCAACCCCCAGGTCTTTCTCTCTCTCGGACTCTTGAAGTATTTCATCTCCCAAGTGATACCTTGTATCTGGTCTCCTGCTTCCTACCCCTATCTTCATTACATTACATTTGCTTGGATTAAACTCTAACAGCCATTTGTTCGACCATTCCTGCAGCTTGTCCAGGTCTTCTTGAAGCCTCAAGCTGTCCTCCTCTGTCTTAATCCTTCTCATAATTTTGGCGTCGTCAGCAAACATTGAGAGGAATGAGTCTATACCCTCTGGGAGATCATTTACGTATATCAGAAACAGGATAGGTCCAAGTACAGAGCCCTGTGGGACTCCACTGGTGACTTCACGCCAGTCTGAGGTCTCACCCCTCACTGTAACTCTCTGCTTCCTATTGTTTAGGTACTCCCTTATCCACTGGAGCGCCCTACCAGTTACTCCTGCCTGTTTCTCTAGCTTATGCATCAACCTTTTATGGGGTACTGTGTCAAAGGCTTTCCGACAGTCCAAAAAAATGCAGTCCGCCCACCCTTCTCTTTCTTGTTTAATCTTTGTCACCTGATCGTAGAATTCTATCAATCCTGTAAGGCAAGATTTACCCTCCCTGAACCCATGTTGATGGGTTGTCACGAAGTCTCTTCTCTCCAGATGTGTTACTAGGTTTTTTCTCACAATCTTCTCCATCACCTTGCATGGTATACAAGTTAAGGACACTGGCCTGTAGTTCAGTGCCTCTTGTCTGTCACCCTTTTTGTATATTGGTACTACATTAGCAGTCTTCCATATTTCTGGTAGGTCCCCCGTTTCCAGTGACCTACTATACACTATGGAGAGTGGTAGGCAAAGTGCTCCTGCACACTCTTTCAATACCCATGGCGAGATTCCATCCGGCCCAACAGCTTTTCTCACATCCAGCTCCAATAGGTGCTTCTTGACCTCATCTCTTGTAATTTCGAACCTATCCAAGGTCACCTGGTTTGCTGCCACCTCTTCTAGCGCCGCGACATCTCCCTGTTCTATTGTAAAGACCTCCTGGAACCTTTTGTTGAGTTCTTCACACACCTCTTTGTCATTCTCTGTGTACCTGTCCTCGCCCACCCTAAGTTTCATCACCTGTTCCTTCACTGTTGTCTTCCTCCTTATGTGACTGTGTAGTAGCTTGGGTTCGGTCTTGGCTTTATTAGCTATATCATTTTCATACCTTTTCTCAGCTGCTCTTCTCACACTGACATACTCGTTCCTGGTTCTCTGGTATCTCTCTCTACTTTCTGGTGTTCTGTTATTACGGAAGTTCCTCCATGCCCTTTTGTTTTGCTCCTTTGCTTTCATACATTCCTTATTAAACCACGGATTCTTCCTTTGCTTCTCTGTTTTTTCCTGTCGGGCTGGGACAAACCTGCTTACAGCCTCCTGACATTTTTGGGTGACATAGTCCATCATGTCTTGTACGGACTTGGTTCCGAGTTCTGTGTCCCAATGTATATCCCATAGGAATTTATTCATTTCCTCATAGTTTCCCTTTCGGTACGCCAGCCCTTTGGTTCCCAGTTCTTTTTTGGGGGTGATAATTCCCAGCTCAACCAGGTACTCAAAGCTCAATACACTGTGATCACTCATTCCCAAGGGGGCTTCCAACTTAACTTCCCTTATATCCGACTCATTTAGGGTAAATATCAGATCAAGCAAGGCTGGTTCATCCCCTCCTCTCATTCTTGTCGGTCCCTTGACGTGTTGACTTAGAAAGTTTCTTGTTGCCACATCCAGCAGCTTAGCTCTCCATGTGTCTGGGCCTCCATGTGGGTCTCTGTTCCCCCAATCTATCTTCCCATGGTTGAAGTCTCCCATGATTAGAAGTCTGGATCCGTTCACACACACACACACACACACACACACACACACACACACACACACACACACTGGTGTGTGAGGGGGTGGAGGTGAAGCTGGAGGAGGCAGAAGTCACACTGCAGCAAGCTCCTGGAAATATCGAATTACCTAAGTATTGGGAACAGGTTGAGGGCTACAGTGGTGTCCCAGGTTACATAAAGGTTCAGGGAAGAGTAAAAGCAAATAAAATACAATAAACAAGTAAAACTGAGTGAAAATAGCCGAGTGGAAAAGTTTGTTTTGGTCTAGAACAAAATCAAAGATGGCCGCCGCCACCACCCCCACTGAGAAGGTAGACACACCATCAGATGATGGTTTCAAAGGATTCTCACCACAAGATATAAGGAAAGGAGGTGTTCTTGGCAGGTTAGAGATAATTGAGGACATGCAAAAGAAGTATGAAGAAAAAGTGCTTAAATTAGAAGAGGACAATGGAGCTCTTTGGAGTGAGCTTTGCACTCTAAAAGGGAGTATGCTTCAACAAGGTAAGATTATTACTGCATTAACAGACAAGGTAACAAATCAGGAGGAGCAAATCAAGGAACTAGTGAAAGAAAATGAGGCATGGAAAGTGAAGTGTGGTGACTTTGAAGAAATAAACAAGAAGATAGACCAACTCACATAGAGGAGGTGAATAAAGAACTAGAAAAGTATAAAGAAGAAATAAAAGCGACATATGCTGAAGTTGTAAAAGAGAAAGAGACTATCAAAGAAGTGTGTTCGGAAGTCAAAACCAGAAATGACCAACAAGAAGCAGAAATTAGGCAAGCAATTAGGAAAGAACTGGTTACCAACAGTAAACTGGTACAAAACACTGCAGATAGAACTAAGTCCATAATCATTTTTGGATGTTTAGAGAAGGAAATTTCATCTAGGGTGGACCGAGCGGCAGAAGAGATGAAAATCATAGAGAAAATAGTAGGTTTAGGAGAAGGCTCAAAGGAAAATGTCAGTGATTTTAGAAGAATAGGAAAATATGAGAAAGAAAAGAACCGCCCCTTAAGGGTGACCTTTAATGGAGTGAAAAACATGATGGAAGTGCTAAGAAATGCCAGGAAACTGCAGAGTGATGAGGTTGGCAAATCTTGGTCAATAAGACAAGACCTCTCCAAGGAAGACAGAGAAAAGCTGAAAATGAACTTAATTGAGGCAAAACGTCTAAATGGGGATAGAAATGAAGAAGACAGAAATTCTTTTTTTTACAAAGTGACAGGGACTGGAAAGCTTGTGAAATGGTACATAAAAACAAAGCAACAAGATCAGTAGTGGAAGGGGGAGTAAAGAGCAAAGGAAAAGGGAACATGTTCCTGAAAATTGTATATACCAACATAGATGGAGTGAGGTCAAAAACTTTGGAGTTGCAAGATATAATCCAGCTTAGGGTCCCAGATATTGTTGCATTATCAGAAACGAAACTTGAAGGAAATATAATAAATGAAGTCATATTCCCAAGAGGCTACTCAGTTTGGAGACGTGACAGGAAAACTAGGAAGGGAGGAGGAGTGGCTGTACTGGTGAAAAAACACCTGAAGGTAAAAGAGTTAATATTTGAAAACCCTCGAGATATTGACATAATGGCATTGCAGGTCTGGAATCAGGATGATAACCTGATAATTGTAAATGCCTACAGCCCACCAGCAAGCAACACGTGGACAAAGGAAGAACTGGATGACAAACGAGAGGGCCTCATAATGGTCATGAGAGATATTATTGTACAAGCAGATAAAGATAAATCACGACTGTTGATACTGGGGGACTTCAACTTTAGAGCAATAGACTGGGAGGCCTATGAAGCAAGAACGGAGGACTTTTGGACATGCAGATTTGTGAACCTCATTCTGGAGACATTCTTGTATCAACACATAAAGCAAGCCACAAGAATGAGGGAAGGAGATATACCGTCAGTACTGGATCTAGTATTCACCAGGAAAGAAGAAGAGATTTTTGACATCCAGTACCTTCCTCCCTTGGGAAAGAGTGATCACGTCCTGTTAGACATTAAATATGCTTTAAGATATCATCTAGAAGAAAATGGGGACATTGAAACAGTTGATAAACTCGATTTAAAGAGAGGCAACTATGGGGAACTTCGAAATTTTTTTAATGAGTGTAATTGGACAGAATTGTTGCTAGGCAGGGAAGTAAATGAAATGTATGCCAAATTTTTAAAACTATACGAGGAAG